CAATTTGGTCTAGCAGTGGTTAGGATTTAAGTATTGTCTTAGGCGTGAAACCCCGATGGATGACTTGGGCCAATCATTCTCTCTCAGACCAACTCACCTCACAGGGTTAGTTGTTATTGTTGTTGAGAAAATAGAAAGTGGAAGGAGAGTATTGGGTATGTTTGCTACCAACATTATAAAAATAATAAAAGTGAATTTAAAAAATATTTTTAAAAATGTAGCTTACTTTAACTGGGCAACTAAGATCACTTTCACAACTTGGGTGACTCCACTGGGATTGTATATTTTTGGCATATATTTCCAACATTCTTTACTCGTCCTTCCTAGAAACATCTTTTTTTCCCCACAATAAAACAACCCTTGATGGGCTATAAAGCTTTAAAACTAAACTGGTTAATACTGAATCAGGGGTGAGATCCAGCAGGTTCTGACAGGTTCTGGAGAACCAGTAGCGGAAATTCTGAGTAGTTTGGAGAACCGGCAAAACAGCCTCTGGCTGGCCCCAGAGTGTGGTGGGAATGGAGATTTTACAATATCCTTCCCCCAGGAGTGGGGATTTTGCAGTATCCTTCCTCTGGAGTCGTGTGGGAATGGAGATTTTGCAATATCCTTCCCCTGCCACGCCCATCAAGCCATGCCCACCAAGCCACACCATGCCCACCAAGCCATGCCCACAGAACTGGTAGTAAAAAAAATTGAATTTCACCACTGTACTGAATATACATTTTGAGTATTTTTATTAAATGTTAAAAATTATAGTTTTTTTTTTAAAAAAAGAACATGCCCTATGCATAACTACATTAATGCAGGTATCATCTCATGGCTGGAGCCCTTAGAAATAATGGAGTAGGCTACATTCTGCTAGTATATTTTGAGCCTGTTCAATGGAAAGTAAAGAAAAATGGTAGAAATATATGAGTATATATACCCCTTGTTGTGATTGGCAGTGAAATAATGTTCAGATTATTGTAATAAATCCCTAGCTAATGTTTTTAAATTTTTGGAACACATAAGTGGGAGGGCTTATGGATTTTGGCTTCCTCGCTTTCCCCATAATTCAGCTCCTGAGTGAAACAGCAGGATTTGCCAATGGCCAGTTTACAAGAGAGGGTAGGGACTGTCGCATCTAACATGTTTCACAGCAGCTGAGGACACATATTTTCTCACCAGCTCTCATCTCCTGGGCAAGTGATAACAAGTGATAACAAATGCAAGCACCAAGTTCTTAATTATCTATCTCTGAGCCTAATCAAACATTCCCTCAATACTTAGCAGGCAACTATACCTCCTGTTTTCTCTGGATTCATTACAAATGTGAAGGAAGGAAAAGAGGGACTCTTACAAGGAGGGGAAGTTTAACCCTCTCCTCCCCTAGCATAATTGTAATGGACCTCCTGCATGGCATGCCATGAACATTTATAACAAAAGTACAAGTGCTAACTAAGGTTGTGTGCATGTTATATCAAAGAGTAGGAAAGTGAGTTGGCTCTGATCACAAGGGAGAAAAAAAGGTCCCTTCTCACCGCACTGCATTTTCTAGTAACACATGCTAGAAAGTTGTAATAAAGGGGAAAGCAGGACGTATAACATATGCTGCGTACTGAGGAATGTCTAGCTTAATTCTCAGAACCCAAATTTAGCCTGCTTGTAAAGAACTTGACAACATCATGAACTGAGTGACTTCCCCCCCCCCCACTTTGCCTGCCATTCATTTCTGCTCAGGATTTAATCATAGCAGCCTCAGCTCTGCTATTCCAAGAACAGCATTCTCCATCCTGGAATTTCCCTTAAACAGAGAAATGTAATTCCTCGTAATGCGTTCAAGTGCTGTGGCTGCAAAGAGGTTACCCAAGTGCCTTGTGAGCATGGTGAGTGGTGCCTAGGCAAGTGTATGCTACATCTTCTGCTGGAGTAAATGTTATTTTCATTGCCTGAAAAAATGATCTACAACCTTCCCTCCTCTATCCCAAAAGTCAACTGAATGATTGCCAGGATTCTGGCTAGCCAGAAAGCAGGTTGAATCATTGTGAGCTAACAGCAACCCCCTCCAGCTGCCCAATAGCAGAACACCGAAGACATGACTCACCGCCAGCCTATCAGCTGCTGATCCAATTGACCAATAGGCGAGTGAACGTTGTATTATTTAGCCCTCCCCCACCAACAAACACAGCCCCTGCCATAAGAATAAGCATCTTGCCAAAACAGAACAACAAAAGGCAATATGATGTATTTTATACATTATAGAACATAATGTCTAATGCCATAGACATTATGTCAGATATTAGTTGCATGCAGTTCTCTGTTAGGAGATGAAGCTGCCTTGGCCTGGTGCTCCATACTGCCTGGGCTTGCTCTCCTATGAAGATTGTGATTGATAAGAGAAGATGTCAGGAGAGAGGATGGAATGGGGGAGGGTTTCAAAGAAAAAGAGGTTGGGAGTGGGGGTAGGAAAGGCAGTGGCGACAGCAGGAAGGGGTTGTCTCAGGCTGGAGCTGTTGCCAGTGCCAAGCTACCATCTGTGGCGTTGTGATCCCAGCAGGCATAGAGGAAGGAAGTGGCAGCCGAGAAGGTAAGGGTTAACGTGAAAATTGAAAATAAAGACACGAGAGAGCAATTAGCTTCTTAGAACGGAAGATAAGATTCCCCCTCCTTCTTTTTCTGGGAATGGAGTAAAAAACAATCAAATCCAGCAAATCCATAATGGTTGGGATTTTATGTTTCTTACCACCTGCATATTTGAGGTGGGGGGGGGGTGATGATCTTCCATATAAGAGCATTCTTGGATGTTGATTACTCTGCTACTTTAGAGGCAGGGGAATGCTGTTTCTTTGACTTATCAGTTGTATGCAAATTTGGTATCCTAAAACATCTATCCTGAGATGTTAAAGTGAAAGCTGGACCTTTGTGACAACAGCAACATTCTACTAAATTCTATTTTAATAATAAGCGCTAGAGACATAATTTTGAACAAGCCTGATGTGGGACATGCTTCATTCTCAGTCAAGGCACTAAATATTTATTTTGGACCAGTATCTTTGTCACATCTTTGAATGACTAGGAATGGTTGAATCTGTCCACTTTTATCCACTTTTATGTTCACTTTATCCCATTTCTGCATCTGTTTATTATTTTTTAAAATTTGCATAAAATGAATTTGGGGTTTTTTTCTTGCACATTTCACCAAACAGATGCAATTCTATAAACATTTTCTCATAACATACAATATACACTTTTGTATTTGCATAAAATATTACAATATATGTTTTCAATAAATATAATAAGTGTGCAATCATGTAGAATGTTTGAATGCACTTTTATTGGGGAAGCGTGCCATAAAATGTTGAGAAATGTAAATACTGAAATGTAACTCTGTTTCATTTGTAAATTGCTTGGGGAACTATAAACTAAGTTTGTATTATAATATGAATTGAAGACATTTTCCTCGTATTTTTAGATTGGTCTTAACTTTGGGTTTTTTCCCCCTTTTCCCTCCCCCTGCCTATTTTTAAAAATACATACTTTGCTTAAGTCTAGATGCAGAGAGCTAGAATCGTATCAGTAATGGCAGTGTTTTCATAGTTCTGAAAGTTGCTGATTTGGCAACAGTAACAGTTGCTTGAAAGAACCAAGTTTTTGGTGCAAAAAGACAACATACAGTATTACTTCAGATCTCTAGAATCATATCTCTGTGACTCCCCTGCGTGTTGGCAGGAAATCAATAGATCAGTTCCAAAGAGAAGCTAAAGAATTTTCTTCTTGCCTCCAACTTGGCAGAAACACATCCTCAAATATAGTCCATCTGTGTTATTTCAACACAAATTATAAGCATTACAATTATTACTTATCTCTGAAACAAGTCCAATATGTGTAGTTTAAATAACTAAGTTACCTTTGATCTTTTTATTTAACATAGATGAACATGGAGAATGATAATGGAGAAACTGAATGTGATTTCTCATCCCCTAACTTTGTCTGATTGGAGTGTTTCATTGATTTTGCTGAATTACTTGTATATACTTTTAAACTAGCTTTTAATACAAACTATATAGGTTTCTTAAAGAAAGGAAAGCAATATTACATCTTCTCTTCTAAGCGCACATGATTGCAACTCTGATGAAATTTATCTAGGAAAGAACTTAGCCAACCATGGAATTGAAAAAAATGTTTGACTGCATACAGCTATGGTGGCAGCAGTGAGACAGTTACAATTTCATGCACGATGGATCCTTTTTTATGTAGGGATAAGAAGGAAACTTTTCGCTTGAGCGTGTTAAATTTATAGAATGTACTTCTGTACTCGGCTGTTTAAAATAATAACAACAAGCAGCTAGGTAATAAAAATTAAATGTCAACAAGCTAGACTGCACAATTGGTATTTGCATTACAGAATTTTTTTTTCTTTGCAACACTGCATAATTCTGGTTTTGTTATTGATGGGCAGGTAAGTGAAAGAAACTCAGCCATCATTTCACAAATATTTCCTCAGTCCTATAAAATAGGAAGCTCCTTTTCTAACCAGAGGACAGCTGCATTCCTGAAGGAAACAGAGTCCAGTGAACATTGCAGGACTGCTGGCTTTTACTGTAGTCCTCCATCATTACGGCATACATGCTGTATATCTCTGGGCAGGGTATAATACTAGCCTGAGACTTCAGGCTCACTCAAGGCCCCTGAAGGACTGGGGCAAAGCCCCCAGAGTGCCTCCAATTGTTGTCATCAAATGGTACTTTTTTATCTGTTAGAAGGAAGAAGTCATTAAATATAATCCCATTTCCTCTTTGAGTTGAGTTGACTTGAATGATAATCATGTTTCAGAATGAAGATTTTCACTGGCCCACCCTGAGCTGCCCCCCCCCCCCATGGAGGGTGCAGGTGTAGTGATTTGGTGGCTTCTCTTCTGATAGATTGGGGGGGGGAATTGTCTGCCCACATTTGTCCCCTTGCTTGAAAACCTTTGTCAACTTTTTTTTAAAAAAATCTTCTCTGTGTTTCCTTTGCAGCCAGATGGCACCAGCAAAGAATGTGTCTTCATTGAAAAAGTCTTGGAGAACAACTACACGGCTCTGATGTCAGCAAAGTACTCAGGCTGGTATGTTGGATTCACCAAAAAAGGGAGGCCCCGGAAAGGGCCCAAGACCCGGGAGAACCAGCAAGATGTCCACTTTATGAAACGATACCCAAAGGGACAAGTGGAGTTACAGAAACCTTTCAAATATACCACAGTGACGAAGAGGACTAGGAGAATACGACCAACCAACCCCAGTTAAAAGACCAAGGCAGTGTCTTGCAAATAAACTACAAGAATAGACTGTACCAGAGAAATATTTTTACACTAAAAATAAGGGAGAAGTTCTATTTTTGTACATTGTTTTTTAATTTTTTTTTTTTTAAAGACTGGGTTAAAAATAGAAATCCACTGGGGAAGCTGTAAAAGATTTATTGTAACTTGAAGAAGAAAAAAAAATGAATGGCTCTATTTAAATTGACTTTTTTGTGCTGTGGATTGACATACAGGTGCTTTATTTCTCACTGGGAATGGACAACGTTTGGAATGGACAACATATTCAAGCCAATCCCTAGAGGGGAAAAAGTTCATGTTATAATAATAATAATTATAATAATAATAATAATACTAAAAAACCAAAACCACAAAACCAAAGAAAGCCAAAGTTTCCCCCCACCCCACCCCTCCCTCCCCCATCCAACCCCTGAAAATCCTTGGATAATTCTCTGGTGTTGCAGCCCTTGGTTACTTCGTCTCTGCAAGCTAGGCTGAGATGTGAAGATCTGCTGATCTGGCATGGGGCTTCCCTGGAGGGCTCAGTACCTCAATCCTTTGTAATGTTTCCAATGACATAAGGTGTCACGACTCTGTGATCCTGCATTGTTCTGCTCACTTCTGGAGAATGCTGCTAATGACCTTCAAGTGACTAAGTAAAATAACCTAATACACCAATGATAAGGGAGTATTTTAAAAACCAGCTCTATTATATATATATATGAATGCATGTATTATATTTATGCACATAAATATAATACATATATTTATATATATAAATATATATGTATTATATTATAAAGCTATTTATTTCATTTCTCTGTATATTGCAGTTCCATGAACCAGGTATTACTGCCTCAGCAATTAAAAATTATTTAAAACACATAGACGTATTACTGCTGTTCATACATTCCCCTCTCCCCCAGCTTTTCGCCAAACTACACTGAGACTCTTAAACTTGTTACCAGAGCTTGGGCTCGGTGAGAATTTAGAGATCAGTAATAGAATTTTATGTGCCAGGACGGGAAATAATTGTTTCTCCTTTGTTATGCTAGTCCTCCCATCTCTTCCCATTCCACTTTGTTGACTTCCTGCAAAATGCTCAGCCTTGTCCAAGCACAGGCAGAGTTTTGAAATGCGGTGTGCAAAGGATTTCTTCTTGCTGTGTTCTCTTGCCCATTGTGTTCTACTGGGACCAAGCTGACTAGGGGACCACCTGTTATTAAGTGCTTAGTGGGGATAATGGGGATATCCCATTACTGAATGCCCCCAGTGTGTCCTCTCCACAATGCAAGGTGATCTTCCTGCTCTTAGTTAGCCAAAGGCTTCTGGCTTTTCTAGCCAAACTGGAACCAATCAAGATCTGAAGACGCTGCTGGACCCCACTGGAAGTAGCCCTGTATCCAGGACAGGAGCAAGAGGACAGTGAGATGAAGTGGCAAGGCCTGGGGAGCTAGTATGCTTACCTTCAGAAGATTATGTACTTTTGTTTTTTTTTTTAAATGCACTCTTAGTCAAAAGCCTTTTAAAATAAACTTTATTTTCCTTAAATAAGAAACCAAGATATGTTGTGATTGCTCAGAAAAATGTTTAATATGTGCATTGCTGTAGAAAATGCTCTCAATCAAGTGAATGGGAGAGAAAGCAAGAGAGGCTTTTGCATGTGGGAGACCCAGTCGTTAATTGTCCAATGAAAGGTTTCTTTCCTTCTTTTTCTCCCTTCTTCATTCAGTCTTCCTATCAGGGTGACTTGCAACAAGCTAAACCTTGCCCATGTTCGGATTTATATTTATTCAGCCTGATGTAGCCCTGCTACTCTGTAAAAAAGAAATAAAAGGATTAGCTATACTGCAGTGATGTCACAGCTATGACACACATGTCAAAGGTAACATTTCAGGTAACTTGCCAACGTTCACCAACACCTGACAACAACTATTCTCAAAACTATGCCCTATTCTCACACTTTTTTGGGGGGAGTGTGGAGGCCGTATGGGAAGTGTGTGTCCTCTGAACCCTCCAGTGGTCATGTGTGTGAGAGAGAGCCATGTTCTCATATGGTGTCTGCAGCTTCCAAAAATTGCATGAGAATGGGGTGTGCTTTTGCATGGTTTTTGTAGGCCACAGAAGAGCATTTGTAGGAGCTGTTTCAAGAACAAAGGTCTTTTGCCACCCAGAGCAGCCTCAGGTAGGCTGCAGGGCCTGCCAACAGAAAGAGAATGCCATTTGAAAGTAAGTAGTGCATGGCAGTTCCAGAATACTGGGCTGTGAGGGCAATGGCACCATTTTCCAAGGCTCGTGTGTCTTGGGGAATGGCAGAAGATGTTTTTTTGAGTGGCAGCAGTAGATTTAGGGCTGAAGTGGAGGCCTGGGACTCTGCTTTACGCCCAGACTCGGCACTGCTGGGTGCTGCTATTCAGGTTGGCCTAGATTTGGGGGGGGGATTAGGTCTCTTTTATTTTGGTGCTGGGGGTGGAGTGACATGCCAGCAGAGTCAGGTTAGGCATTATCCAAATTGACATACCAAACCCAAAAAGTATGCTATCACTGTTATACTGCAACCAATAAATCTAGTGATAGGAGTGGAGCAGGAATGAGGAATGTTCCCCTCTCATGACTAGTTTGCACAATGCACCTGGACTAGTCTGACCATTGACCAGTGGCAATTTGGACTTTCCCCCCCCCTTCTTATAATTCTTCTAGTGCATGGAAAAAATGCCAAGCAAGATGCTGCCTGCTTCAGGGGTTTGGCCAGTCTCTGAGGAGAGCAGTGAGTACAATGATGTAGGGAAACATCAAAGATATGTGTACTCGTGGTTCTCCTTTCATATTATGATAACAGCTGTCGAGTGGAGAAAAGGCTAACGGATAACTGATCTGGTTTCCTAAAGTATTTGCTAGGCAAGCTCTTGAACCCCAAAATTTAGAATTGTGCTTTGGTCCTATTTCATGCACATGCATTTTATTTCAGGTTAACACAGGACAGACTGGGACCACTGCATATCCGGTAAACCTAGTGCTGGTACTTTGATTCTCATGCAGTTCTCTGTCTTGATGTTAGGCAATTCTGTTGAACAAGGCTTTCATAAGCATTATTCATTATAAGCTCACTGGTTCAGAAATGTATTGGAATCCTGTTACAATTGTGGGAAGTAATTTAAGTAACCCTGAGACCTTGATGAGTACATGTAAATATTTGAAAGGTTGGTATTCTTGGTGCTTACAAACAAAGGATGACTTGGATGTAAGTTTTCCTTGATTCATATATACCAAGACAACATTGCGGAATTAAAGATTTAGCTAACAGACCTTTTCTTTTGCTTCAATATTCAGTTAGGTGCTCATTACTATAAAAGAGGGGTATCCAATTGATAATTTTTCATGATTCAGTTATGACTTTTGGCTACATCAACATTTATATTCTGAATAATCATGAAACCAGAACCTATTGAGCAAATGTAATAGATAATTGGGGTTTCATAAAAGGGCAGAACATTACAATTTTAAAAAATTAATTGAAGTAACAACATCAGCCATTGGCAATCAGATTTTAGGGATGTAAATTTGTGATTGTCTCAGAGATCAAAACGTCTTAGACTAGCAAATAGTATAGGACAAAATAAAGGTGGCAAAGGGTTACTAATCACCTTCAGTTAATTCCCAGTGTGAATTGATCCTTCTTCCCAAGTGTTTGCTGACCAGGGATGGATGTGAAACTGCTGCCAAGAAAATCAGAAATCACATATAAAGTGGTTGCCTTTACTTCAAATTTAAGATTTTAACCATTTGGTTTGCTTTACAAGAGAAATGGTTATTGAGAAAGAAAGATTTCTCACAGGAAAAGGGAGCCAGAAGAATCTCTGCAAAGACATTCAGAAAAGAGCTTTTTTGTTTGTTCAATAAATGACCCCTGCAGGTAAGTAGCAAGACTTGCTCATAAGGAACAAAAAGGAATGCCAGCCATAGGGATTTGCAAGGCGTTCATACTTTAAATTACATTCCCTTTTGTAATGACAACTGGGATCAAACCTTGGACACGAGATATATTATAATATATCTTATGACTAAGATAGGAACAAAAGTAATGTTTCACCACTTCTTCAAGCTTTCAGCAATAATGGGAGAGCATTAGGAGATGGGACTGGTTGTAAACTTAGAAGAATGTGAATGATGCTAAGAGTCAACAATTCCCATTACAAATCTACATTCCAACCCTGTATATAGTAATTTAAAACACTGAAGGAATGTGATTTTGCAGACCCATATTGTGATCATATATCTTTTTTGTTGTGTGGATAGGATGACAGGCAGCATTGTCTGCAATTTGTTTTCTGTTTTCTCTGGGAAGTCTTTGTGAAAGGAAACAAAAGACAGCAAATGTTACATTGATTTAAGAAAATAAGAAAAATGGCAAACCGATTCAAAGGCCTCTTTAGCTCAATATGATGTATAACGCAGTCCTCTATTCACCTGGAAAGATAAACAAGGATATTCCTCTTCCACTGTTGGTCACTAGCAGATGATTCTGAGAACACTGCTGTAATTCTGGTTGGAAGTACAAACCTATTAAGACTGCAGCCTGGAAACCCTCTACCCCATTAATGTGTCTCATCTCTTTTCAAACAGCAAATTAATGGCCATCAAACAGCAACTTATCAAGAACTATAAACCCTCGGATCAGTTTGAAAAGGCTTCTGTGTCTTTGGACAGTAACTTCCAAAAGCAGCTTGACCTTCATGCCTCAGACCAGGGGTGTCAAAATCAAGGTCCGGGGGCCAGATCTGGCCCACGGGGTGCTTAGATCTGGCCCGCAGGGCCGCCCTGGAAACTGAAGGACTGGCCCGCGGTGCTTCTATTAACAAAAACAGAGCTCGGTTTTCATTGGCAGAGGGTTGCAGGAGGCCGTCACAGCTGAAATGGACCTCGGGAGCCCATTTTTGCTGGCAGAGTGCTCGGGCCACCACAGGCGCTCCCGACACGAGTGCTGTTGAGCCACATCCACCTCAGCCCCCCAAGATCAAACACAACCCTGATTGCAGCACTCAATGACATCGAGTTTGACACCACTGCCTCTGACCTTTAAATTCATAATTGTTATCCAAGATTACTAAAAAATATAGTTTTTAAATTTTATTTCTATAGAGACCCAACTCAACAAATGCCAGGTCTGGCGAAGTGGCACAACACATTGTATGTGTGTTTATTATTTGGAATTGCTAGGCAGGATTAAGGTGAAATCTTAACTGAATCTGCATTTTTACTCAAAATTGCCATCCTGGGCTATATGGATCATGATCTCCTTCAGTAGAAGATAGCTTTTTCTTTTCCAACAGGCTTAGTAAATGTAAACAATTCTTTATGTCAAAGTTGTAATACTATATGTGCTCATATAGAAATAAATTCAACTGTACCCAGTGGAACTTATAAAGAGGTGTAGCCTTAATAGATTTAAAAGGTACCTTTTAAATCTATTATCTTTTTTTTCCACAGCTCAGACAAGGAGAATATGACATTTTGTGGGGTATGTTATTTTTTGTCTATCTGGCTGCTGGTTTTGAGACAGTTATGGCCTAGGTGAGGAAAAATAAACAAAAAGGATCTTTTTCTGAAAATAAACCAGTGAGAGAATGAGGGAACAGGAGACCTGTCTATATACCATGGAACCAATAATCCATGTTTGGCCTCTCTCAGTTCTGAACCAGCTTCTAATTAGGCCTCTCTGCTCAGAACATTTTATATTCCTGGGAGACAGCCATTTTGACACACTTTGCACATACCTTTATGTGCTTTCCCTTCCTAATCCTCCTTTGCTTTACAGAAGCCAAAAGGTCTTCCAGCCAAAAGAGAAATCAAAATCTTTTGCTGACTGCTTCATGTATGAATTAAGTGGAGGGTTGTAGGTGGGATCTTAATTAGCCCTTGTAAATGGCAGGGCCTTGAAACCATACCACCTTGGGGTCTGATCGTGAGGACCACACAAAAGCTAAGCAACTGCTTCTCTGCACCCAACTGAGGTGAAATCCACTATTCACAAAGACAAGGCGCATACAATGCACTCCTTCAAAGGAACTGTATCTCCTTAAGAACGAAGGCGGTGGGAACATGGGGAAGGGGGGAGGACCACTTCAGCCAGTCATGGTGGTCGTATATAGAGAGATGAGGAAGAAGAGAATTTCAGCTGAGTTGAATGTGAAAGGCCAAGGATATAAAACACAGCAGGCTGAATTTAGGCCCAATGGCAAGAGAGATCTTGCAACCACCTTCACAGCATTAAGTGCCTGAGTTAAAAACGCTAATCTGTGAGCTCATGAAAGTTGTTCTAGTTAATAGCTGCCGTCATGGACTGTTTTCTCACACAGCCAAAGAGACGATCTTTAACTAGCAAAGTCCACCAGGAACATTTGTTTGTTTATTTGTCTAATTTCTATTGCCGCTCATCTCACAAAATCAGTGATTCTTTTTTACTTTCATGGATGGCTATTCATATCATGTTTGGAAATATACAGCATGTTTGGAAATATATGCACAACAAATTATGCATGAATGCAATAGTCACTGTCCTCCCCAGATGGTGTAGTTCCATCTGTGACCCAAGTCAAAATTTACGACTGGCATTATGACATCCTGAGCATCTTGGTTTTCAGTCCGTGGTTCAGTAAATTACTTCGCATTCATTGGCTGGAGCACCAAGATAATAGGAAAGTATAGTTGTTATAAAATCTTATTTATTATACTTACAATTTTTTCATATGCTTTTATTCCTTAGTGGTTATCTGTTTTCAGTGGGAGATCAGCTTCTCTGTTGCTGCCTGTAACATCTACGTATTCCATCTGATAGGCAATATCTTTTCACATTATTATTCTGTCACAAATTGATTTGGGACAAACTTTGAGCAAATAGGAGAAAGGGGATTGTTTTAAAGTCAGACTTCTTTAATCTGATATCCTAAAAATCTAGTGAATGTTCAAATTGGAGATCCGTTATAGGCAATTTTAAAAAGCACATAATAGACTCTCACAGAAACCAGACTAATTATTGACTGAAACAGTTGCAAATCTCACTTAATGTAGCTTAAACAGGACCTATAAAGTAGGAAAAAACAACACAGAATGGAGTGAAAATCCTTGAAGGTATTGACCAGATTACAGGAATAACCACAGGAAAAAGAAGAGTAGACTTGAATGTCAATCCATTTTGTACACAAAACACAGACCCCTCAACTTTGTAATGCAAGGTAAGAAACAGTCAATACTGGAGATGTTTCTTCCTGGTAATATTAAATACTTGATGGATGGGAAAACAATTGGTGAATAACTGTACAATACCTAAGCTGAATCTATACTTGTTCTGGATTTTTTCCAGTCCATTGCAGTGGGTGGCATTGGGGAAAAAAGAAAGCTTTTGTTGAAATCTGACATTCACTGATAGTTCCGTGGGAATCTAAATAATAAAATAAAATAAAGAAAAATCCCACAACATTGACCAGAATACTAGTTTCTAAGCATTTGTAACAGAATAAATATAGAAAATATGCTCTACGTTCAGTTGTGCAGCTGAATAGGAGCCGAGGTGGCGCAGTGGTTAGAGTGCAGTACTGCAGCAGATCAAATCTCACTGGCTCAAGGTTGACTCAGCCTTCCATCCTTCCGAGGTGGGTAAAATTGTTGGGGGCAATATGCTATTTAGTATACTGTCTTTGGTATAAGCCGCCCAGAGTCCTCAGAGAGTGGGCGGCATAGAAATATGACAAGCAAACTGTCAGGGTGCTAATTAATCCCATTCTGCTTTTGGGTACCTTGATTTAGAGGATGAGGATGAATCGAGGCTTTTCCTTGAAGTATACTTAAGAAAATAAACCCGAAGATATGTTTTCTAAGAAAAACTCATTTATTTGTTATAAAGAAAATAAAACATCTTACTAGTCTAATTAGTTACATTTTGGCAACGTTCCTGCCGGCCACCTCTCTTGGCCGGACCTCTCCTGGCAGGAGAACAAAGAAAAGTTAGAAGAAAAGTGAAGGAATGTAGACATGCGCAGTTAGCTTACTGATAAGAAACTTGGCAAGCTACGGTAAGTCTTAGAGTCCAAAAATAAGAGCTCATCTGGTAAAAACAAAAACGCAGTGACACAAACAAACAAACAAACAAACAAACAAACAAACAAACAAACAATAAATAAATAAATATACTGGTCTAACTCCCTACAGCTCCATTTTCTTTTCTTTAACCCTGAAAAGGAACAGGTGGCGTTTTCCTGATCTCTCATTGGTACTGAGCTATTATGTGTTATTTTGAGCCGACTGCTTTACTGAAGGTGCCATACTTCTATTAGTACACTCTAAAAGAAATGTGAACATTACTTAGCTTTCATGCTTGATCTGCTCACTTGCTTTTCATCCACAAGCAGTTCAGAAGTACAATTGCTTTTGAGCCAGGCACCATCTTCCCCTTCATGCCTGGGATGGACTTGAGATAACTTCTGCCTGGGTCTCATAGCATTTTCTGCTTCCACATCAACAGGTCTAATGAGGACTTTTGTGCTGAAATGGGTGTGGTTACTGTTCCAGCCCAAGGAGAACCGAGGAGGTTCAATCAACAAGGGATGTTATGCTGGCTGATTTTGAGAAGAATAAACTTATAGTCATGGAGAAGAGAAGCTGGAATTAGCTGCATGTGAAAAGAGCATGTTTGGCTTGCAGGAACACAGATCAGAAGTACTCCAGACAATGGGATACTGTTTTGGAACCTCCATTTCCATGAATTATAATTAAGAATGTGGGGAGGGGGGAAGCGAGAGTGGATTTCCAATGCCCCATTGTGCTAGACTGGGACTACGCAGCCTTCTCCATGCCCATGTCTTCTTTGAACCTGAAAGACTACCATAAAGACCCCACCAGTACAACTTGCTGGCAGGCAAGTGGTATTTCTTGCTGATCTTCCAAGTCACCATTGTTCCTACTTTGTCATGCCGATGTTTGTAATCATTCTGTGTATATAGTTAACTAAGTGATCCAGTCTTTCTTCAGCTTCTTTGCAACAATGGCTGCAATGGCTGTCTGTTGTTCCAATAGCAAAGTGTTATTTGTTTTCTGTCTTTGTATACAGTATTTGTGACTATTGGGGGCGAATCATTGGCCCCCACAGAGAGGGCACGCAACTTGGGCGTCCTCCTGGATTCACGGCTGTCTTTAGAAGAGTACTTGACGGCCGTGACCGGGAGGATTTTTCATCAGGTTCACCTGATTCGCCAGTTGCGTCCCTTTCTGGATCGGGACTTGTTACTCATGCCCTTGTCACCTCCCGCCTGGACTATTGCAACGCTCTCTACATGGGGCTCCCCTTGAGGAGCACCCGGAGGCTCCAACTGGCGCAGAGTGCGGCCGCGTGGGTGGTAATGGGAGCGACATGGCGTTCCCATGTAACACCTCTCCTGCACGAGCTGCACTGGCTCCCGGTGGTCTTCCGGGTGCGCTTCAAGGTTTTGGTTACCACCTTTAAAGCGCTCCATGGCTTAGGACCTGGGTACTTGCGGGACTGCCTACTACCACCAATAGCCTCCCACCAGCCGGTACGCTCCCATAGAGAGGGGCTCCTCCGGGTGCCGTCGGCCAAACAATGTCAACTGGTGGCCCCCAGGGGGAGAGCCTTCTCTGTGGGGGCACCTACTATCTGGAACGAGCTCCCCCCAGAGATACGGAGGATCCCGGATCTGCGCACCTTCCGCCGCGCTTTAAAGACCTTATTATTTCACCAGGCGGGCCTGGCCTAATTTTCTCCCTCTTTCATAAAAGATTTTTAATTTTTAAATATCTTTTAGTATTTTATACATTCAATTTTAAAATTGGTTTTAAATAGTTCGGGGTTTTAAATTTGTTGGAGCCAAAATTATTTAATTTGATTTTATTCTACTTTTAAATTTTGTATGGATGTGTTTTATTGTTTGGCTGTGCACCGCCCTGAGTCCTTTGGGAGTAGGGCGGTATAGAAATCGAATAAAATAAAATAAATAAAATAAAATAAATGTGGAAGCAATATTTCTTTGACTAGTTCAGCCAGCTGTTGAGACTAGATTTGGCATTTTTGTCCACCTATTAAGTCCTTCTGAAGGACCTGGGATAGGCAGATGTTGTTCTTTGATGGTGTCAAAGGTATCATCCCAGGATGCAAGCTGTTCTGTTCTTGTAATTGATTGGTGGTGATTTTTGTCCATGCCAATGGCAAGGTTTCAGTTTCTTTGCCCTAGGTAGACCTTTGCAGTTATTTCAATTCTATTTCTGTGAATTCTTTATTTAATATTATACGTCACTTTTGATCTGCTAGCCTCTGTTATTTCTAATTCTGAATGTTGTTCATTCCAGAACCGGTATGTTGTTTTCAGGTATCCTCTTCTTGCTGGACTTGATTTGAATAACAAATACTTATTTCTCTGTTTCTAATTTTTTCATATTTGCAAATGGGTGAACTTTTTTTCCACTAGTCCTGCAGCTGCTGGCCCTGATTGCACAGCCAACAGTCCTGTAGCTCATTTGTCACCAGATATCCAAGAACTCCAACTCTAGTCCTTGTTGACTTAGGTGACAACTGAACTATTATGGGTTTCTGTTAATGAGAGATATACTCTTCATTTGGCTCCTTTGATAAGACCTGCCTAATATGGTTGAATCTGTGGCATAGCTATTATCTTCCTCAGAACACACAAGTCCCAAAACCACATCAAGGTAGTGCCTTGCTGGGGGTTTATTATTAATAATATTAATTAAGGCTTCTATTGATTATACGTTTTGTATTTTGGTCTAAGACTGCAATTGAAGTATCTGTCTGTCATCTATATCTGTCTGTCTGTCTGTCTGTCTGTCATCTACTCGATGTGTTGGCCTTGATACAAATGGCAAGCACAATGAACCCCAGGTCAGCAGTCTGCTTCAAAAATTAGACTAGGATATTGTAAACTCGCTGAGATCTGCAGCCCTGTTTTGAAATTCCCATCTCAGTGTTAATACTGAAATCAATGGAAA